TTCAAACACAAACACTTTTTCAAGGACCGGGGGGGGGGGAAGAATCCGAGTTTGGTGGTTTGCTTGCAGACATTTCATTACCTGACTAGGTAACATCTGATGTTGTTACCTAGTCGGGTAATAAAACGTCTGCCAGCAAACCACCAAGTTCAGGGAGCGCCTCGGCCCTGCCTCCCTCAGCCCCATCCCTCAGGTGTCTCCCTCCCTCCCTCAGGTGTCTGCCTCGTTCCTCTCTCAGTCGCTCTCTCGCTGCTCCACCAGCCCAGGAAGAAACTGCTTCAAAGAAGCTGGGGGGGGGTGGCTTTTCCTGTCAGCACAGCTCCTCTGAAGCGCCCGTTTACCCCCACCCCGCCCGCCCGCGCGCGGTTCAATCCACAGTGCTCCGTTCTGCCTGCCTGTCTGCCTTCTTCGTTTCGGAACAGCTTCACCTGATAAAAAGAGGCGAATAGTTATTATTCTCACCAGAAACGAAGAAGGCAGGCAGGCAGGCAGAACGGAGCACTGTGGATTGAAGCGCGCGCGGGCGGGCGGGGTGGGGGTGAACGGGCGCTTCGGAGGAGCTGCGCTGACAGGAAAAGCCCCCCCCCGGCTTCTTTGAAGCAGTTTCTTCCTGGGCTGGTGGAGCAGCGAGAGAGCGACTGAGAGAGGAACGAGGCGGGAGGAAACCGAAGCCGCTGAGCCAGAGAGCAGGACAGGCTTCGGTTGCTTCCTCCCTCTCCTTCTCTCATTTGTGTCCTTGATCCCCGATCCCAGCAGCATTCACCGAAGGCGAAGAAAGCCGCCATTTTTTTTAAAAAAAAATTTCTTTGCGGCCCGGTACAGAGTGCTCCACGGACCGGGACCGGTCCGCGGCCTGGTGGTTGAGGACCCCTGATTTAAGCCATCTTTGAACCAACCATGAGTATTTCCTCTGGCCAATCTACATGGCAAGTCAAGTCATGAAACTCTTTGATGTAGTCGGCAACTAGACGGTACCCGTCTGACATGCCTTATGCATCTCTAGCCTTGTGATTGGCTAAGGGGATCCTCAAATCTCCATCTCAGGGCTGTCATAAAGTGGTTAAAATTGCAGAGCTCCAGTGCATCTGCAGTATGGAGGTTCACCATCCAACATGCAGCTGATCCTTCTAGAGCCAGTGTGGCAACCCTGACTTTGGCCCCTTCAATAGGGAGATCCCTCCCATACTCCTGCATGTAGGTCAGTATGTGTGTGAGGAAAAATCCCAGTTGATGCCAAGAGGGAGCACCTTCCATTCTAAGGGTGGAAGCCTCCTCCCATCGAGTTGCAGGGATTGCTTTGGCACCCTGGATCTGCATGCCATGGATGGCCTCCCTCATAAGGTTGGTTGGCTTTCCTCAAGAGTTGGTTGGGCCAGTCTGGGGCTTCTTCCAGTTCATTGTCGCTGTAGAGATCTTCCATGTCCTGCTTCCAGCTGGGTTGGTGGTTCTAACAAATGAAGGTGACATTCTTGGCCCTGCTGCCGCAGCCTTCCTCCTTCCCAATGTTGATGGACCATCTCAGCTTGGCAGCGGTGCTTGAGACGAAGTTCTCCTCAATCCAGGCATTGAGGGCCTCCTCTGCTTGAACCTTGGGGGGGCATTCAGCCTCTTCATGGTCACTGCCCTGGGCAGACATGGTGTGCATGGTCCCCATGGTACGGCTGTTGCCTCTCCAGGTTGACCAGTTTGCAGTTCCTGCCTAATGTAAGGTCTTGCCTCTTCAATCTTCTCAAGAAAGAAGAACTCTTGAAACTGAAGTTGTTCCAAAAGGAGCTTTTATTGAAAGGTTTGTGATAGCAAGAGGTCTAGGCAGGAACTACATTTTCCCACTTAAAAACAGCATTTTAAAGCAGTGCAAACAAAATCTCTCCCACAGTACAGCAACGCAGGAAACAGAAATAGAAACTCACAGCAATGCAGGAAACAGAAACTTCATATAGAGATCTCTCCAATCCACTCCTCTCCCACCAGAATGCCAGTGTCTCAATAGAAATATATGGGACCTGACAACCAGTCAATGATATTTGTGATATATTTTTAAATGTTCAGTTGGCTGAGTTTCATGTTTAATGAATAAAAATAGTTAATAACAACAATAATAACACTGAAGAGCTGCCTATATTATGCAGTATATAGGGGTGATCTTGAAAAAGAAAAAATGAGGGAAGAACTAGTCCTCCAATATAACAATAGCAATAGCACTTACATTTATATACTGCTTTATAGTGCTTTACAGCCCTCTCTAAGCGGTTTACAGAGTCAGCTTATTGTCCTCAACGATCTGGGTCCTCATTTTACCCACCTCAGAAGGATGGAAGGCTGAGTCAACCTTAAGCCTGGTGGGATTTGAACTGCCAAATTGTAGGCAGCTGGCTGCAGAAGTAGCTTGCAGTACTGCACTCTAAACACTGCGCCACAGAGGCTCCTTTAAAACTCCAATGCAGTTTTACAAAGTACTACCTTCTCCTAATTCCACCCTAATTCTTGGTAACATCAAATTTCTCCCAAGACTGCCTTGTTGGTTTATATAATATACTCATTTCAAATGTCTTTTTCAAGTTCTAATTAACAGAACAGAATGGGTTTTCACACAAGAAATAAACCGTAAGGCTGTCCATGGAATCGGTAACAACTAGGTGTAGCAACCAATGCCGTCTGTGGCCCTGGTGCACCGCTCACTTATATGGGCCAGCCTTACTGTTTGAGGCTGAATGGAGCCTTCAACTGAGCAAGGAAGCACTGCAGGGCCAGGCCCCTCACACCCACGTCCAGCCCCCGTTTGCTGTGCGGGGGCAGGAATGAGACCCTGTCCCACGGAGTCTGCTGCTGCTTGGGTAGGGAGGACAATGAGGACAAGAACAGTGAGTCTTTGTGCTGGCTGGCCAGGTGGGAGTGATAAAGCCTCCTCTGGATGAAGCCGTGTTATTTACGCCTCTCCCATCCCCGCTCTTCCACCCCCTCCCCTTCCTTCTCCTAACAAGCGGCTGACGCTGTTTGGCTGCAGCACCTCCCCCAAAGCCCCCCAGCCCCTACAACAATTGCTAGTCAGCCAGTGGCAGCCACCATTAGCATTGCAATTAGTGCCAACACAGAGCAAAGGAATCTTGTTCAAAAAGGAAGTGGGTTATACAAGCTATCAAAAAATCTACTCTCAGCAAGTCTTATGTCATATATTCTCATTTTCCTCAAATAAATCTCCACCTTCCTGAATGGCTTTTTGAATGGGAGAATTATAACTGGATTACAGGTAGTCCTCATTTAACAACCATTGTTGAGGAACTGTTCAAAATTATTATGAGACTGAATGAATGGCATGCATTATTGGTTCTTGAAGTTAAGGATGCTTCAATATCCTCACAATCACATGGTCAAAATTTGGACATTTAGCAACCCATCCATATTTATGATCATAGTGTACACTTCAACTCCCCCATCCTATCTCACTGCTCTCTCTGCTCCTTTGGCCACTATGCACTCCATTATTACCCCCAGCCCTGCAGCCATCCCCACTGCCCTCAGCTGACCTTCACAATCTTCTTCCTTCTACCGCTGACAAGGTGTACTCAGGAAAGCCAGCTGCTGGCCCTTCACGAGGCCTTCACAACAGCTGCCCACTTCCCCATCTCTTTCCTTTTTGCCCTCACACCACCACAACTTATTTCTGCCACTTCCTACTAATTTTTGATGTAAAAAATATTTTTGAATGGAGATTAATCTAAAGTCACCTTTCCTTAACATGATGTCCTGCCGATGCATGGACTTTGAATCCCAGAATCTCAGCAATGGTTATACTGACTAGACAATTCTGGGAATTAAAGTTCATAATCCAGAGGATGGCTAGGCAGGAAAGACTATTCTAATTCAAAAGTAACAAAAAATTATAATGCATCCTTAAGCAATTCTAAATGAAGTAGCGTATCTTCTACTATCTAAACCAGAGGTGTCAAATTCACAGCCCATGGGTGGCATCATGTGCTGGCCATGTTTTCCCCAGTTTAGTGAATGGGAAAAACGTTGTGATATATCACATGACAACAACGTGACAACAAGAGTTTGACACCCCTGATTTAAACAATTTAATAGGATCAGGCTTAGTATTTACATAGAGACTATTTGGAAATAACAGTGCTGGAGATTACACTGGGGTTGTAAAAGATTTCAGAAGATGGCAACAGCAAATTACCTCCACGTTGTTGTAGAAAAGTATTTGGATGTGTCCCTAAAGCCACTAGGACTCAAGCATGACTCAACATATTTTAATTATTGTTTGAAATATAAAATATATTTTAAAACACACTATTAATTTTGAGAGATCTTTGCTCTTTTTTTATTAATAAAATTAGTTTGGACCCTTTGCCAATTATAAATTAGTGTTATGGTGAAAATCTGCCTCACTTAAAGCAACCAAATTACTTGAAGATATAAAATAATGTTATTTGCATGCATGTAAACAATAGTACAATATATACTGGATCCCCAGCGAAATTGTGATACTTTGCTGAGCAGCTATGAATCCAAAAGCAGAACCAGATCTATGTCCCACTACATGGCAAGAGAAATGAAGCCTAAGGCAAAACAAGAAAATGGTAGGCACAATGGAAATTCAAGTGTCATGTTGGAATATTTTAGAAGAACCCACTCATGTGACATTATTTATTCCTTCCTACTAGGTCAACATGTTAGCCATACTGTATTTGAGATATGGATAGTGAATAAAAACAATTGGTTCACTGCATCATAGGTTCTTGAATGTCCTCTCAATTTAGTTGTTGTGAATGTTTTCTTACATAGGTACTTTAAGCAGAAAGCAGAAATAATAATAATAATAATAATAATAATAATAATAATAATGATAATAATCGGCAATAAGTAAAATATGATGCTATCCATCCATTTCCTTTAAAAAAAACCATCTAATTTGATTAGCCATTTTATTCTAAATTGAGCCTTTATTATCAATAAAAATATCATATTTGAAGGATTTAATAGAATTTTCTTACCTAAAGACTGGTAGAGCTCTATCATTTTAGGATGATCCCAGCAAGTAGTTTGCGTCTCATGACTATAAGACAAAAAAAATAAAAATGAAAAGTTTAAATGTTTAAGCTTGCATAAGTCCTAATTACACTCCATCGTATATTTTTATAATTGTAAAATGTTGTCATTTGAAGTTCTGCACTATACTAAGTAGTGTAACAGCAAAGTAATTGTTTCAGGCTTACCAAAAATTTCACATCGACATATTTTTTCCTGATACGAAAGTATCATGAGAAGAAACCTTATTAAGTAAGGCAGATCTCTAAATCAGCAGTTCCCAACCTTTTGGGCACCAGGGACCAGTTCTGTGGAGAGGGGTTTTTCCACAGACTGGAGGGGTGCTCTCCAGGCTGGTTTCATGTGCTGCCTGCAGCCCTTGAATGGGGTTTCGCTTTTTTGCGTAGACCAGTTTCTGGCATACCACGGACCGGTCTAGGTCCACAGATCGGGGGTTGGGAACCCCTGCTCTAAATGATATTAACTAGGGATCAGTTAAGAGGTATAACATTATCCTGTAATAACAACAGTACTATCTGCTGAACAGAAGGCTTTAATGAGACTGTTGCTCAGCAATACACTAATTTATCTATTACATCTTTTTATAAGACATACATATACAGATAGTCTTCAAGTTATGATCCATGCAATCAAGGTTGCTGTCATAATCCCAAGAGTAAGGGTTGTTAAGTGGAAAACAATAGGAGTTCCAGGTATGCTTGGGTGCTGCAAGAGTGCAGGCTGAGGTAGGCTAGCACATGCCCAATGCAAGTTGGGGAGAACATGTGCAGTACAAGTGCAGAGAGGCCAAGTGAAAAGGGATATTGGTTGATAAAAGTGCAAAGAGACTGAAGGAAGTAGAGTGCAACATGAGCATATGTGAGTGCAAAGAGGCTAAGAGAAGAATACCATGGGTAGGGAGGAACTGGGAGTCCTATGGAACGATGGTATGTGCAAGTTCAGGGAGGCTGAGGAAAGGAGGGTATGGGTTGGTGTGAATGCAAGGAGGATGAAGTGGGGCTCAGTGTGCTATGTAGAAAGGTGGGGAAGACTTACTAGAATGACTTGCAAGCCTCCCCTGAAAATTTCCCCATTGACTTTGCTTGTGGGAACAAAAGGTTGCAAATCATCTGACTATAGGTTGCTGCAACTGTTGTAAGTGTGAGCAGATTGCAAAGTACCTGAATTACAATTGCATGACCATGATGCTGCTGTAAAGGTTAGTATTTTAAGTTAGCAATATGTACTACTAGTTCAACACTGTCACAACTTTGAACTGTCACTGAATGAGTGATCTATAAGTGAAGATTACATGTACAGACCATTCAAAATTATGATAGCTCTGAACGAAGGGATGTATGATTGGGTCTCAAAGTTCTAGACACTGCAGTACCCCTGCAGTCATATGAACAAGATAGAGGCCATTCATGTCTATGATCCTGGGTAAGACACAAAATGTGGCCCTGGGCAGTATGTGAAAAGAAGCTCTGGCTAGCATGTGAACAGAGGCCATGAGAGAATCCCCAGCTGCACTACAACAAAAGAAGATAGCACAAAGGAAGCCTCTGGCCAGTACAGTAGTGGCATGTTGTGTGAGGGCATGGTGGGTGGCAGCTGGCAGCAGTGGGTCAGAGACAGGAGAGACATAGACAATGGGGGAGTTCAAGACGAAGCAGAGGAAGCAGTCCCTTATCTGAGTGTTGGGGCTGCGAGGGATCAAATGGTGAATGGCTTGGATTGGGGGGGGGGGTGCCCTTGCCTAAAAACCAATGAGATTTGGTTAACTCAAATTTGGTTAAACCAAATTTTAACCAAATTGCCATTGCTTAGTGATACATTCAATTGTCATTACATTTTATGATGTACATTTTATTCTATCACCTCTGAGAGGCACAGCCAGGAGATGAGAAGATCATAAAAATTCCACAGTGAGATGTGTCCTGGGAATCTCTGGAAAAGTTCGTTCTAAAAAAGAGGGTGGGGGGAAATTAGGTATGCCCTGGGAAACTGTAAAAAAGATCATTTCTACAGAAGGGGGGGGGGAATTAACATACTGGCTTTTGTTTCACGAAATACACATCAAGATAAGGGGAGGGGTTTCTAAATTCCCTTATTTATCCCTGTATGCCTGAGGGACCTTAGACGCTGCTTTGAACTCCTACATGAATTGTCTCATCTCAATAAGGGATTCCTTTTGATACGTTTGGTGTTCAGAAGTTCATTCTTGTTAATTGAATGGGGAAAAGTTCTGTAGCATAAAAGCAGCGTCTGCAATAGAACCGAGGGGACCCTGAAAGAAAGGAAAATGTCTGAGTACAGCAAGGACCAAGGGGAAGTCGAATGCTGGGGAGAAATGTCGACAGTTATCCAGCCAGATACTGACATGGTACACTCCATCGAAGATAGCGAAGCTGCCTACGAAGCCCTGGTGGTCTATAGGCATCGGAAAGAGAGACAGCTGGGATGGAAGAACCAGGGGAGTAACTCTCACCCGGGGCAATCGTAAACCCGGATGGAAATTGGAGCTGGAGGCCCTATCGGATCAGGAAGGATGGGGCAAGGAGCTACTGGTGGATGACCGACTGAAACGGTACATAAATCGCCTCATGAGGGAAGCCCTGGAGAACCTCGAGGTGAGGGATGCACCAGGACGCCAACACAGGAGAGCGAGGGAACCAGAAAATGAGAGAACCCGAGCCGCCACCCTGGATTCAGCTGAGAATGATCAGGCAGCAGGACAAGCTGAAGAACCAGCAGCCATACCAGGTACCCGACCCCTAAACACCTCAGAACAGGGGATTAACCCTGGCCAACCCAGAGACATACAACTGCAGAGGAAGTCCCACCCCTGGGAGTAAAATTCGATCGGGACCCCCAGAAACTGAGATTTTTCCTGGCGCAAGTCCTCACCTACATGCAGGAATATGGGCAGAATTTCCCAACCCAGGGATCCCGAGTACGAGTCATCACCCTGGCCCTTGAAGGGGCAGCAGCCAAATGGATGGTGACACTCCACAACGTCAATGCCCTAGAATTAAGGAACCTTGACCGCTTCATGATGGCCCTACGCCACCGCTTCAAAGACCCTCTCGCTGATAGAAAAGCCCGAGACCGCATCAGAGTTGTAAAGCAAGGCCGTCGCCCGGTAGCTGAATACACCGAGGAATTTCGTGACCTGGCTGGCCGAGTCGACTGGCCAGAGGATATCCTAGTCTGTTGGTTCAAAGATGGACTAAATCAGGGGTCCCCAACCACCGGTCCCCGGACCGGTCCCAGTCCGTGGAACATGTTCTACTGGGCCGCCGGTTTGCTGGGCGCCGCCATCTTGTTTCGATGAGAAGGTTTTTTTTAAAGACTCCAATATTTCTTCTTTCCTTTCTCCCAAAATGAAAATACGAAAAATGAACTGCATAAAGTTCTGCTACAGCAGACATTCGTTCCCCCCAAAAGGAACTCACAAATTACAGAACAAAAAAAAAAAAAAAAGAGGTAGGACCAGGATATAGGCAGACCCCAAACCTTATATGCAAAAAATAGCCAATCTGGGCGGTTAACCCTGAGGGAAGTGTGTGTGGGGGGGATGGTAACAGCCGGCATGCATTTTTCAAAAGAACTACACAGGCTGCTGAGCCCTGGACAGAAAGAGTGAGCCGAGTAACATTTTGTTGCTTCCTGATTGACTAATTTCAAGCTCCCGGCTGCACTAATCGGGCAGGGCCATGTCGCTCACGTGACCTCCAGGCGCGAGATTAAATTCAAACAGCCGTGTAGGAGGATATCAGGGAGTCGGTTGCGCCGCTTCTGTGGGAGAATCTTTTCATTGCAAGGCAAGCGGGTGGATAAGCGCTGTGAGATGGGGGGGGGTCAGATGGGGTGCCGCTGTTAAAAAAAAACTGAGCGAAAACAAATTTAATTTGGATTTAGTGGAAGGACAAGTTTTCCACTTTGTTGGATGGGTTCTAGTTGAACAAATGAAGCCGAAAAAGGGGGCTCTTGATTTGGGGTCGCTCGGCTCGCCTTGCCTTGTCATGTGTGCTGATGCCGGTACCGGGCCGCGGATCATTTTGTGATGCCGGTACCGGGCCGTGGCACAAAAAAGGTTGGGGGCCACTGGACTAAATGACAATCTATACACTGCCTGCATGGCCTGGGGGACCCCAAACCTCCTGCATGAATGGTACATGATAGCAAAGGAAGCAGAGATAGACATGACTCGTAACTGGTACCACAGTGGCAAGTTTTGGAAAAGATCCCCACCCCTGGGGAAATGGGAAATTTTCAAACCCCAAACCACCATGACTCCACGAACTTCTGGTTGCTTTAAGTGTGGAAAGGAGGGACACCACGCAGCAGATTGCCATTTGAAAACCCGTCAGAAAGCCAGACCACCCATTGGGGGGAAATCTGGAACATCCAGCCCTTGTGGAAAGGAGACTGGCTTGAGAGGCCAAGTAGCTGTGGGATTCCGATCCCCCCCAACCAAGAGGAAGAACCCCCAATGCTCCAAGAGGACCTGAGCCAGTCCGAAAGCAATCTGGAAGATGACCCGCTGGTAAGCAACCCAATTGAACCAAACGCTCTACCCCTAAGACAGTTTATCCCCAGCCGAGGGAAGGGGGAGGAAGTTGCAGCGTTGCTGGATTCGGGATGCACCCGATGCCTAATAAATCCTTCCCTTGCAAAGAAATTGGGGATCCAACTGAAAGAAATGGAAAATCCCATCGCTTTCTGCCAATTAGATGGAACTATAGCAGGGGGGAGCCAGCTAGGTTTACCACAGAACCACTGAACATAAGATTAGGGAACCATAGTGAGATGCTTACATTCATTTTAGCCCCAGGAATGGAAGAGCTGCTTGTCCTAGGTCTCACATGGCTGCAGAAATGGAATCCAAAAATAAATTGGAGAAGAGGAACTGTACAATTCCAGAGACGTTGTATTTGCAAATGTCTCAGAGGAAAGGATAAAGAAAGGAACAGAGAACAGAGTCAGCCATGACCGGACAGTCAGCTGAACCCATTAACATCC